CAGCAGGATCCATGCTAGGCTAAAGGCGAACCCCTCCAGACCAGCAGGACCATCCTCCTGCTCTCCAATGTCCGCTCCCTCCACAACAAGCTGGTTTTGCTGAGAGAAACCCTCAGAGAGTGGAGTGACTGCTGTGTGTCTGCTTTAACAGAAACATGGCTCCATGACAGCATCCCAGACGGACAGACAGCTGGAGGGGATGCAGACAGACAGACAGCTAGCTCTGGGCAGCACCTGCAGCTTCACCATCATCACACCATCGTGTGTCTTTGTGTCCCTGAAGACCTACCAGGACCTGGAGAGGTTCGCCATGTTCAACGAATGGACGTAGCGCCCCCTTCAGGAGACAGAGAACAGCTAGTGTCTATCCCAGACGTGCATTCTGCAAAACTTTTAAATGATCCTGAAGAAACGCTCCCTCCTCCTGCCTGTACTGCAACATGACAATGAACCTGATTTGATATCACTGTTATATCATAATTGACTTTTACCATTTAAAAATTTTGCACAGTTCTGTATGTTTATTAACTTCAGTGAAGTTCAGCACTCCGCTACTGCAACAACTGATATTAAAAAGTAAGATAAAATAAAGTAGCACATAGGACACAACCAGACATCTTCCAACGTGAAGCTTTCAGCATCAGATCTGAACCACATCCATCATACAAATTTCACATGTACACATGTGAGGCCCAGACTAGATGAGCAGGTTAAGGTTCAGTGGGTAGGACTGTCATACTTCTAGAGTTCACCAGCACTGGAAAACTATTTTAAATTCTGTGTTTTCCAGGGTGCTAAGGAAACCTGCATATCTTTTCTCCAGCTCATCTAAACAAGGCCAACAAATCGGTTGTGTCAGTACACCAGTATTAAGTGAGCCACAGACTCATCTGTAGCATGACGCCCGCTGATCAGCAGCAGTCTGAGGACATCCAGAAACAATGGCTCCACTGCAGAGTTTTATTTCTACCGCTGTAAAATGTGTGGCTTAGGAAGTATTCTGACTGTAATTCCTTCTTCAGGGATCTGTTTCAAGACTGCTGGTTTTATGAGACTTCAGACAATCTGCCTTTCCTGCTCTCCTTGCTGATAAGCCAGACCAGTGTCTTATCACATTCAACTGAACGTCATTCCCTGCGTTCTGTGTCGTGCCAATGAGCCTGTTTCAGACGTGCACTCCATCTAGCTCATGTGACAGCAGCTCAACATATCAGCTTCATGTCTAAATGCACACCTTGGTTATGTTCCTGTAAAAGCTCCTCCTAGGACCTGCTAACCACGGGGCGGCTGTGGCTTAGGTGGTATAGTCAGTGGTCCACTGATTAAAGGTTGGCGGTTCGATCCCTTCCAAGTGTCCTTGGGCAAGACATTGAACCCGAAGCTGCTCCCCATGGAAGCTCTGTGGCCGTTGGTGTATGAATGTGTGTGAACTGATGAATGAGGAGCACACTGCACAGCGCTGTGGCATCACTAAGGTAGAAAGGTGCTGTACAGGCGCAGACCATTCACATTAATGGGTAGACAGGCACAAGCAGCGACACTTCAGAACTTGTATCCAGTTCTCACGCACTTGGTTCTACAATTTCGAATCTATTAGACTTCAGAATTAAATGTCCAGAATTACATCACCTTCCTGTGCTGAAAACAGACACAAACAGCTTGAAGAATAATAATACTCACCAGTAACCAACGTAATCAGAGTTCTCCCCACAACACGCTAACAGGAGCTGTCTTCCAGCTGTTCAGTACTATTCTGTCCAGTTAGTTTAACATCTGCAGCATCAGACAGTTTATCACATATACGCAGCATCAGACAGTGGTAGAACAAAGATTCCCTTTAGCAAGCACTTGGTAACAGTAGGAAGACAACAGCTGGACCAGGCTGAGGTCTCTACAAAGACATCACACAGCTGACAGTGGATCACAATGATCCAAGGCCAACAGAGTGGAGCTGCTGATTTCAGGAGCACAGCCTCGTGTGTGGACAGCAGGTAGAGTCTCTGTGGTGCTGTCAGTAGCCTTACCTGGTCGGCCACTCTGTACACCTCATTCTTGTCGCTGCAGTCACACAGATAGTAGTGGACTCTGCTGGCTCCGCTGTGCTTAGCCAGTCGAGCCGTTTCCTTCATCCCCTCCTGGTTGATATCCCACAACACGAGCACAGTGCCAAGAGCCGCAAACTCCTGAGCCATGAGGCGGCCGATCCCGCTGCCGGCTCCTGTGATCAGCACCACCTCCCCGGCTATGCTCTTCTTCTTCATGGGCACGAACAGGTGGATGAAAGATTCCACGTTGTACCAGATGGACAGGAGGGTGACTTGGATTGTTTCCAGAAAGAAATTCATGATGGCTCTAGGACAGGTGAAGGAGAAGAGAAATAAGAACACCTCGTTGGAGAGAAACATAAAGAGAATGTTAAAGATTTTTGCCTTTTCAGAAACCCTTTGACTGTGGAGCAATAATATATATGTAAATGTAAATGTATGTATATCTGTTGCCACATCGACCAGTAGTCAGGCCATTTTATGAGATTTTCACAAGCCTGCCAACTAAATCGTTACCATACTATTCCTTCACCAGTATGTGTGTAAAGGTGTAATAACATGCCTTAAAATGTTGAAGTTCAACTCTGGTGGGAAACCCTGAAAACAACCTGCTCCAGCCAGGGTCCCCATAAATGACTGACGAAAAACCGATTTTTTTAACAATCAGCCTTCAGTAACTGATGAGGTCAGATCAGGGTGTGTTCATGACTCTGAGTTGATCGTTGGCGTTTATATTTCACCACAAACACCCCACTGTTGAACAAGGCCACACTCACCTTACATTTATATGTATATATATATATATATATATATATATATATGACATTTATATTTATAAATGTCGTGATAAGCGCCGCTTTGTGCAGCGCCTAACCCAAAAGAACAGAAAATAAAAATAGTGGTAGTCCCATACTGCAAAGGTAACAAGACTGATTGTAGAAAGCTGTCACGTCCTGCATGTAGCAGGTGAAGCATGCAGCGGGTGAAGCTTGCAGCGGGTGAAGCACGCAGCGGGTGTGAAGCTTGCAGCGGGTGAAGCATGTAGCGGGTGAAGCATGCAGCGGGTGAAGCACGCAGCGGGTGTGAAACTTGCAGCGGGTGAGGCATGTAGCGGGTGAGGCATGCAGCGGGTGAGGCATGCAGCGGGTGAAGCATGTAGCCGGTGAAGCATGCAGCGGGTGAGGCATGCTGCGGGTGTGAAGCCTGCAGCGGGTGAAGCATGCAGTGGGTGAAGGTTGCAGCGGGTGAAGGTTGCAGCGGGTGAAGGTTGCAGTGGGTGAGGCATGTAGCGGGTGAAGCTTGCAGCGGGTGAGGCATGTAGCGGGTGAAGCTTGCAGCGGGTGAGGCATGCAGCGGGTCAGGCATGCAGCCGGTGAAGCATGCAGCGGATGAAGCTTGCAGCAGGTGAAGCTTGCAGCTGCAGAAACCATCCTACAGTCCAGTAACTTATTGAAAAGTGCAGCAGCAGCCTTTAGGTCTCTGTGGTCGTTGCCGGCCAGTAAATATAACCTGCTGAGCAAATGCTAGTTGAAGCGTTTGCATCAGAAAACCCAGAACGTTTTACAGCACTAGCATTGTAACTGGCCACAACATCAGCTTTTACAGTTTCTGACATATTAATGATTTTGTTCAGTTCTTATTCAAAACTAAACTCAAAGTGTCTCTAGCCCTTATTATGTGGGCATAGCAGTACTATTGTGTATGAAGCAGGCTTTGTTGTTGTGTTATATTTCCTCCTAGTAGTCAAACTGTGCTAACTATAGACTGCGTTAAGTATAGACTACATATTATTACGACCACAGTTCTGCACATCTGACAGAGTTCATAAAACACAGTAGTCGGTAGGGCTGGACCCCAACATCCAAATCTGGTATCTGGACAGCAATTTTTGACGGAGTGATGGACGCTCGTTCTGACGTGATTTCTGCAGTTTCTTACTGGCTTTAGGCTGTTAGCTAAGGCTATGCTAGGTTAGCATAACTACAGTAATGCTGTTGCTAACATAAACAGGCAGGGAGTAGCTTAAGCTAGGTTAGCACAACTTTAGCAACGTAAATGAAAAGCATGACTGACCAACGAAG